AAATTTCAATAACTCTGTCGCATCAATAGGCTACTATGGCCTGAGAAGTATTAGTAGAAATGTTATGAAAGTTCTAATACTTGACTGATCGAAAAGGCTCCTATATATGGCCTGAGAAGTATAAGTAGAAATGTTATGAAAGTTCTAATACATGACTGATCGAAAAGGCTCCTATATATGGCCTAATAAATAAAAGTATACTGACTTGATCGATAACATATACCAAAAACAAAGCTTAAGCACAATAAAACTCAAAATCTTGTGTCTTACGAGAAACAGCTGTGAATGTACTGGTCAAAACTCAAAATTCTTCATGTTCACACAGCTCTCCAACTTGCAGATGTGTTTATCGTGTAATGACGCCTACTCAGTTTAATTTTCTCATTGGCAAGATAAGTCTTTTTCATTTTTTTCCCCCTCGTCTTGAATAAAAATAGTAAGGTATTCGGTTTACTAAACCCTGTAAATATCAGATTAACTGTGCTCGAGATGTAGTGATCTAAACCTCAAACCTAAGCTCCGATTTCAGCTCAAGAACACAGAATTGAACAGAGAAAGAAAGATGTAAGCGACGACACAAGATTTTGTTAACCCAGAGTTCACTTCCTTTCAGGATAGCTACTCTCTGGGGCTCGACAGCACGAGCAAGAACAATCCACTAGAGAATAAGCTCGATACAAGAGATTCACTCTTAGATCACGAAGAACAAGCCTCTTCGATCTCTTCTTCTCTCTCTACCTTATCGTCTAACGTCTATATTCTCTCTCTGTAACAGACTAATCTTATCTTCCAATATATATATGAAAGACCCCGGTTCAACTCGATCAGACCAGAATCAATAACCTTCCTGGTTATCTCCAATCTTCTCTTGAACCTGATTAAGCCTAAACCCAAAACCGGTATTAGCTCAATTGACCATAGTGTTGATATCACCTTCAACTTACAATCTCCACCTTGATGTCAACACTACCAAAGTCTGTCCCTCATGCCGTCGAGCGTAGCCGTTCTTCTAGCACTTGGCTACTTTGAGCAGAGCCAAAGCTTGCTCAAACTTCTGAACTGGTATCACCTTTGTTAGTATATCTGCAGGATTCTCAGATGTATGTATCTTGCTCACTACAACCTCTCCTTGATCAACTATGTCTCTCACAAAACTCATCTTCACCGCCATGTGTTTTGTTCTCTCGTGGAACACATTATTCCTGGCAAGACATATCGCACTTTGTGAGTCGCAGTGAACCTTCACCACATTTTTTTTGAATCCTAATTCCTCGGCTAAACCTTTCAACCAAATTCCTTCTTTAACCGCCTCCGTCAATGCAACATATTCAGCTTCTGTTGTTGATAACGCCACAATGTATTGAAGACTCGACTTCCAGCTCACTGTATTATCACCTGCAGTAAATACATACCCTGAAGTGGATCTTCTCTTATCCAAGTCTCCAGCAAAGTCTGAATCAGAGTAACCCTCTACCTGTAAACCAACTGAACTCTTCTTGAATACCAAACCTCTGTCTTGAGTCCCCTTTAAGTACCTTAGAACCCATTGCACAGCAGTCCAGTGATCTTTCCCAGGATTACTCATAAACCTACTCACTAGACCAATCGCATAGGTCACATCTGGCCTGGTGCCAATCATAGCATACATTATGCTCCCAACCGCATTCGAATATGGAACCTCTCCTGCATTTTCTTCACCATCTCTCAAAGCTGACAATTTGAAATGAGATCCTATTGGTGTTGTGACCGACTTAGCCTCATCCATTCTAAAAACTTGCAGAACCTTCTTAATGTAACTAGACTGAGACAACGTGAGAACTCCACATTCTCTATCTCTTTCTATATCCATTCCTAAGATCCTCTTGACTGGCCCTAAATCTTTCATTTCAAATTCGCTATTCAACAACTTCTTAACCTTATCTATTTCAGACTTACTCTCGGAAGCAATCAGCATATCATCCACATATAAGAGTAAATAGATATGTACCTGATTCTCCAAAGTCTTTATATAGACACACATGTCGAAATAGCTCTTCACAAAACCATGCCTGACCATGAATTGATCAAAACACTTATTCCACTGTCTTGGGGTCTGTTTTAACCCGTAGAGAGACTTTTGCAGATGACAAACCTTGTTACTTTTGCCTTTTATTTCATATCCAACCGGCTGCTCCATGTAGATATCTTCATCAATACTTCCGTGTAAGAAGGCTGTTTTAACATCCAACTGCTCCAACTCTAAGTTCAAATTTACCACAACTGAGAGCATGAACCTAATCGACACATGCTTTACCACAGGAGAGAAGATTTCCTGGTAATCGATACCTTCCCTTTAGGCCAATCAGCACTTCGTTGAGCTTCAAAGAAGTCCTTCGGTTCCTCGGATATAAATTCTTCAGCTACTGACAAAGCAAATGCCACTTCGCTGTCTTCAGTAAACCTTGCTGGCTTAACTATCTCTCGGCGTTGTCTGTCTCTAGTTAGCTGGTTCTTCAGCGATACCTTCCTCAGTTTCTACTACTTCCTCATCAACTCCACCTCTACCAAGATACTCTTCATTAGTTACATGATCCTCACTGATCCCTGTTGCTTCAACAAACACTTGACTCTCGTTAGGCACACTAGTATCACCTAACTTCTGCTTTAGCTTTTTATCGAATACATCTTTATACATAGTATTTTCAGTGAAGACCGCATTCCTAATTACACACTTGTTTTCACTAGGAAGCCATACTTTGTATCTTCCACATTGAGAAGTCTCCTTGTCCGTTGAACCCTAAACCTCAAACCTAAGCTCCGATTTCAGCTCAAGAACACAGAATCGAACAGAGAAAGAAAGATATAAGCGACGACACAAGATTTTGTTAACCCAGAGTTCACTTCCTTTGAGGATAGCTACTCTCTGGGGCTCGACGGCACGAGCAAGAACAATCCACTAGAGAATAAGCTCGATACAAGAGATTCACTCATAGATCACGAAGAACAAGCCTCTTCGATCTCTTCTTCTCTCTCTACCTTATCGTCTAACGTCTATATTCTCTCTCTGTAACAGACTAATCTTATCTTCCAATATATATATATATATATATATATATGAAATACCCCGGTTCAACTCGATCAGACCAGAATCAATAACCTTCCTGGTTATCTCTAATCTTCTCTTGAACCTGATTAAGCCTAAACCCAAAACCGGTATTAGCTCAATTGACCATAGTGTTGATATCACCTTCAACTTACAGAGATAGCTGTCCATACACGGGTAAAGTAAATTAAAGAAGCTTAAATCAATGTATACAGTCAGTATAAGGGAGTCTTGTGAAAGTATTTTAGTAACATCTGAATTCAATGAATAGTTTTGGCAAATATCACTTGCAACGCTTAAAATTTTTCTTTTTTATTTAAAATATGTGTCAATGTTTTATCGCATGTTCTACTTAGAAAACCAAATAAAAAAGTTTTATATGTGCCGTACGTTAAGGGAACAAACAAGAAATCAAAGTGGAAGAAGATAAAAGTTGGTTTATCACAAGTTTAGTACGCCAAACGTGAGGGCTATCTTTGAACTGATTCTGTTGTCTACAATGATTATTGATTTTGATTCATTGCATTTGCATATTTATATTTAAATATTGATGCCTCTTCCCATGTTCCAATGGGCAATGTAAGCCTGTAAGGGTCTCGTTAATTAATTTAGCTAGACCATCTTCTAGTATCCGATTTGATCTTTTACTCCAAAAGAATTAAATTTCAAAACACATTATAATATACTCTCTATAAGTAGATATTCTGATCGTGGTGTCAATCAAGAAAATTAGTACGTGTGATTAGGAGCTAAAATGCTTACTTAATTAATCTTATGTTAGACATCAGGTTTGACGTGATCATATGAGAATCCCCATGATAATCTTTAATTAGTTACTTTGACAATGCACTTATTGTTTGTTACAAAAAAAAAAAGACAATGCATTTATTGTCTCCATGATGTTTTTAAAAAATGTTCATCTTCGTTGACAAAAATAAGAAAGAAAACAACAATATAGTAATCTCCGTCCTTTTTTCTGACATTCCGAGAACGCTCCTACGATTCCGAGACTGCTCCTACCAAAAAGAATGAAACAAAATGGTAAGCTCTTACGCTCGGCAACTACAATAGATAGATATATACTAGTGTGGATAATTAGTAAAAGACTTAGTTTGAAACCCTGATGAATATCATCTGTATTTTTACTATACGCTAACTCAGTTTTATGTTTTTACTATCAACCAGATTGTCTCGTATGTCAGAAAAATAGTAGAATAGTGGATTAATCAAATAGCAAAAACCCTTGAATTATATTGAAAAATCATAGAACGCTAAAAGGCTGGTTTAGTAGATGAAAGATAGTTTATTTATTTTATTTATACTTTTTATAACATAGTATATAGCACAATCTTTTTTTCAACATATAAAATAACATGAAAAATTGATTAATGTTCTAAATGATGAGAATAACAGAATCACGTTTTTTTTTTGTAAAAACAAAAACAGAATCGCGTTTTAAATGGGTGATACAATGGTATATCATAGTGAATGTTAGTTTAGAAAGAAAAAAAGAATGTTAGTTTAGAATTTTTGGATGATTATTGAGAAGTATCCCCCAAATCGTACATAGCTGGCATTAAATCATTTCTGACACCTTAATGAATTAAAAATCAGCTTTCAAATCTCATAAGTGGTTAGCAGAATATTCTAATACACCTAGTAGCTAGAAACAGTACGTTGCCAAAAAATGGTATTTTTCGTAGATTATGTGATTAAAAAAAAAAGATGGTTAACGAAAGAAAAAACATTACCTTGAATTAGAAATTAACGAAATATAATAAAGTAATTAAATACAAGAAATCCAAAAGGTTTTCGTTCGTGGGTAAAGAGACCCACGTGGATATATATATAGAAAAGAGAGAGATCTATAAACTGACGGCGTCAAGTCAACGTACAGTCAAATAAAACCGTCAAAAGTAAAAAGTTAACGGAGACAGTTATCACACGGATCTCCTCATTTTCTCCATCGGTCTTATCGGCGAATCCATCGGCGAAGCTGAAGACTCCGGCGACGATTTCAACGAATCGTCATCTGTAACAGGAGGCGAAGGCGATGTTGAAACGAATTCTACCGGAGACGAAGGTAAAGTAGCGTCCGCGGTGGTGGTGGTGGATGACGGCGACGGCGGAGCAATCGGTTTATTCCCGTCGGCGACTTTTACGTCTTTCGTCAAGTAATTCCTCAGGCGTTTCACGTCGGCGAGTTTCACCGGTTTCAGTAAGAAATCCTCCGCACCTTCTTCAAGGCATCTGCAGATTTATCGTTTTTTTCTATAATCAATCTGCATTCTGATGAATTGGGAAAAAACAAATTTCCGGCGAGAGATTCACCTGTCGATTCGAGTGAGTACGTTCTCCGACGACATAATTACAACTGGAACTTCCCGGAAACTAGTCGATTCCTGTTTTTAGAAAGATCAACAAATTTTCCAGGAAACCTTAAGAGAAAATTTTTTCCATGGCGAGAAAATTTCGTACCTTAATCTTCTTGAGAAGCTCGTATCCAGTCATTCCAGGCATACAATAGTCAGTGATTATCAAATCAACTTTCAATCTCTGAAAAATCAAGATTCAAAATCAAAAATCATAAATTAAAATCCGGAATCTGGAAAGCTCTCTTTGAGTGATTACATCGAATTCGACGGAGGCTTTATCGTCGTCTAATCCTAAGAATTCGAGAGCTCGCCATCCACTATCAACCGCCGTGACTGCATATGAATTCGCCGCCGGAGATTAGCTTTTCGCATGAGGTAATCAAACGAAGAAGAAGAAGAAGAAGAAGATGAAACAGACCTTTGCAGGAGGTAATACGAAGCAATCTCTCGATGACGATGCGATCGACGAGGCTGTCATCAACGGCTAGAACGTGAACCTGGTCAGAATCCAACGGCGGAGATTCTAATTCTCCGATTCCTATCCCGATCATCTCTGATCTTCGTAGACACGAAACGCCACCGTCTCTGGTCATAGCTCTCTCTCTCTGTCCAGTGTAGGAAAATCAGAGAAAGTGCCAAACTCTGTGTGTTTTGCTTGCTCTTCTTCTTATTGTCCTCCACTTTCTTTTATAGTTCCATTATTGCTTTAACTGTTTAACAATCAAATCCTTATTGGTGTATTTTGTTTTCTGCATTATAATAAAACATTCTACAACAGAACATACAAGTGAAAAGGCTATTTAGTATGTTGAAAAAAAAATAGCCTTCTAATGAGAAGTATGTCCAATATTACCAACAAAACGACTTAAATTATAAGATTTTATCAGAGAAGATTGATCATCGAAGGTGTTTAGTAATCAGTAATCAAAACGGATGATAATAATGTTAGGACTGGACAAAGTGATAGTGAGATTGATCAATATAATTTGCCAATAAGACTTACATAGCCATCAGAAGAGTTTTCCCATCTGAATCCACTAAAAGATTTTAAAACACTGTTAAACCATGAGCTTAGTTATAGTGCAATTCCAAAAAGTCACTAGATGCAGGTGCATGCATATTCCTTCTCTTTTATAGAAGCATATCCTAATGCATGCATTATGTATAATTATAACCAATTAAGATCATTAGAGATATCAAACTGAACTTTCAATATTTGTGTAATTAGTTTTTTTTTTTCACTTCCTTTGGCCATTGGAAAAGTCTGCTCGTGTTGTTTTTTTTTTACGCAGTTGAAAATCATTAAAATCTAACTAGAGCTAAATCTTTTTAAAAACTCAAATTCGCAAGCAAAAAATTTGAAAAAAAAATTGTAGAACCACCGGAATAAAATTCAGAATCCACAATAAAATTCTCTGTTTTTAGTTAAGATTAGTTGGATACAATAAAAAAAGTGTTTGAATATTAAACGAAAAACCATATTGCAATATTTAAAAGAAAACACAAATAAACAGAGATTGCCAAAAACACCATTAAAACGTATCTACATCATTTCCATAGGCATGCATTTTGGTTTTAAAGTCTTTTTCTACCAAACGTCTCTTTGTTGTGGTTTAGATTTTTCATTTTGAAAAGTTTTCATTCGTAATGCCAGTTCATAATTTATACCAGTTGAACCACTGACTTTAAATACAAACTTCTATAAATTTTATTAGTTCTAAATATTAAACATGAATGGACAGACAAATATTCAACGTGTATAGATTCACGTGACGTGAATGTGAATACCATTATAGTTTTAAAATACATTTTATAGAATAACATGTTCAAGTTTCACCTAAATATTAAATCAAAGTAAAAAAATTGATTTGGCTTTGTTCAGTTATATAATTGATCACATTGTATTTGTCATTTACTTAATCTCGATATCTCATCGCTAATTTACACTTTAATTAAAAAGAAAAGGAAAAAGATATTGCGTACGTTCACGTTGAGTTTAGATCTGTGGGCCCTAAGAGATCTAAGTGGGACCCATTTTATTTGTTGAACAATTTTTTATTAAAAAAATGCTAAAAAATATTTCAATTATTTAATTTTTAAAATAAATTTACACAAATTTTTAATATTAAACTATTTTTTCGATCCATAAAAGTATCTAAACTTTTTAAAATTTTATTTTCCCATTCTAATTTTGCGGTCATTAACTGACATAACAGAATCAATAAACAACATCAATTTTTTGTAAAAAAAAATATCAATTTTTTGTAGGAAAAAATGCTAAAATATACATCAACTATTTAATTTTGCTAGAAACCCACATAAATTTTGTGCGTAGCTTGAAATCCACACAGACTGTTTTTTGATCTAGAAAAATATCCAAACTTTTTAAAGTTTCATTTTTCCTCCTCAAATTTCACGGTCATTAATAGACATAAAGGCTTCGAAAAACTGCATTACTTTTTGTAACAAATACTAATTGCTATCAGATTGATACCATTGTTATTTTTAGAAAATCTCTAAATCGATTTGAGTAAAAAAAATATAAACCCTAATTTTTCTCTTTCTTACTTTTAGAAATTAAATGAAATTGGTTGAAAAATATGGTTAGTAGTCTAAATCGAGTTGGAAACAGTGCATGTTATGATATATAAGACTAATAAGAGCAATTCGAAGAGATAATGTATGTGTTTTGAACATGATTTATTGCTCTACTAAACATTTTTTCAACTGCTTTCACTTAATTTCTTAAAAATAGCAAAAAATTTAGGGTTTATGTTTTTCTTTCTCAAATCGATTTGGAAATTTTTTAAGGGTAACATTTATGGTATCAATCCAACAGTGTATTACAGAAAACTAACGTAGTTTCTCGATTCCGTTATGTTTATTAATGACTGTGAAATTTGAGGAGGGAAAATGGAACTTTAAAAGTTTGGATTTTTTTTAGATAAAAAAAATAGTTTGTATGGATTTCTGATAATGCAAAAAGTTTGTGTGGATTTCTAACAAAATTAAATAGTTAAGATATTTTTTTAGCATTTTTTACAAAAAATTAATATTGTTTATTGATTATGTTATGTTCGTTAAAGGTCATGAAATTAAATGGATGAAAAAAGAACTTTAAAAGTTTAGATATTTTTATAGATAAAAAATAGTTTATGTGTGTTTTTAACAACGCTAAAAATTTATGTAGGTTTCTTCAAAAAAATTAAATAGTTGAGGAATTTTTTGGCATTTTTTATCTTTTAAAAAACACTGGACTTTTTTTAATTTTTTTTCAACCATGATTTGCTGTTTCAGACAATACAACGTGATAAAATCTGGGACATTGCTTTTGCTTTGTCTTTGTCTTTCTCAACTAGTGTTCTAAAAGATCAATCGATTCGATTATTAGTTGATGACGTGATTAGACGGTATATGCACTGCTAATTCATTTTTAATATGCTTGTATGATTTTTGTTCTGTAGATAACTTTTCTAGAAACCAATTGTTTTGTGAATTTCTTCTCACAGTTTTTAGGTTATATATCCCATTTCATTAATTGTTTTTAACCTTTTTCTATCAGGTTTCTCTCAAATCTTTTTGTACATGGAATAAGTTTAAAACATCAATTAAAGTTTAGATATGAACAAAACTGATTCTTCAAATAAAGAAGATTTTTTTCTAGTGTCGAACTTAAACGAGTCTTCATTGACGATTGTCTCTATTCTCAGCCAAGGGAGTTTCGGTTATATCTCTCTCAGGATGGACTCTCAAATCATCGACTTTATGCAAAGAAATCATCGTGTCTCAAACACATGAAGTATTTTGAGAAAGAGCTCAGGGTTAGGGTTAGGGTTGGGTTAGGGATACTCCTCCAAGATTCCTACATCTATATAGAGATTGGGTCCATAGATAGTCTGTTTCTTATTTGAGTCTGTTTCTCTACTTGCTGTGCAAGAATACTATTTCGAGTCACTTTTTGGTACTTGCAGTATAAGTTTGTGCGAGGTATATAAATTAAGGTATACAAAAAGTTCAAATCTGTTAGTATTACTCTATTTATTTGCCTTGAGAGATAAGCAATGGAAATTAACTGCATAATAAAAGTCGGAGTTGTCGAATCAATTTGTCCATCATTAGATTTTTAAATAAATTCACCCAAATCAATCAAAAGCCAAAAACTTTAACAATAAATCGAAAGAAAACGATTGTTCTTCTTATATGTGGAAACACTTAAGCTATCAAATTATTCTAAAGTAGAACAGTAGGAAATAGAATTTGAATGAACTTTTGATAAGAACAACAATCAATTATCCTTATCAACACTCGAACAATATTACAAAAATATCAATCAATTCTACTATTAATTGATTACGATCATTATATTATTCGTGTCACGTTTACTTTCAGCTTTAAAAAGCGTTAAATACCTCAAATGAAATCAACGTAACCTCGATGGAGAATAATCGATTAGGCTTAAACGGAATCCGGTTTACCGCTGCAATGGAACAACGTTTCGTTTGTTCTACTAACCATAGAGTATTAGTGTCCTATACATCAAAGTACTCATCTAAATTTAATAGCCTCCAACTTCTTCCATCTCTTGTCATACCTATTAGTCATGGAGGAATAAGATTTTGGGTTTCATATATAGTTCTCCGATCTCATTAAAGAAAAAAGAAGAACAAAGAAGCAAATCATTTGGCTCTCAAGCAATTAAGTTCCAAAGAAACAGGCGTAATAACAAACAAACATGGCGGAGAAACATTTGGAAACGAAATGTACAGAAAGAACAATGAAATTTTTTCTTTAATAATTGAAAATACACACAAAGCAATTCCAGTGTGAGAGAGAGAGGGGAATTCTGTCACAAGTACGCAAGTCTTGGAGGCTGAAGATCTCCTCCTATAAAGCCTAACAAACAATGAAAAACCATATAGCACATGAGCGATTTATGTAACAAAAGTTCACAAAGTATCCATATATAGAAACAGAGTAGAAACCTTTTGTTAGCTTTGGAGAAACCGCTCCTTAGTCGCATCATCATCCCATAAAAGCCCTTTCAGCCATTCTTCTTCTGCTTTTATGACGACATTTTGATTCGCGCTAGTAGAATTAAGTGGAAGTTTTGTTAACCCTGGACAGCTTTTAATGTTGATTTCTTTAAGCTTGCCAAACAGCAAAGGATCCCAATATATGCTCTTCAGATTACCCAAATTCCTCAAAGTAAGGAATTCCAGTTCATGAAAAGGAGTGACATCTCCAAACTCACAAGTACGACGCAACACAGCTTCCTCGTCTTTGCTTATGATGTGTTCTATATCCGGTAACAATACCAAATATAGAGTAGCCAAATGTGGAGCAAAAATCAGCCACGTCAATTCCTTTAGACCAGTACAGTGATCTACTCTCACTTTGCGGAGGTTAATTAGTAAGGCAAATGTCACTTGGAAACCACGGTCCAACTATCTCAGACTCATTGCTGCGTGCCCCTTCTATCTCAATCTTCGGTATATCTGAGTCCTGTATTTCGAGGAAGCGAATACTCGAAATTGTAGCAAGAGGTACTCTAAGTGGATATGAAATTGTATTGCTTCCGAGAGTTAAACCTTCGTTGTAGCTGGAGAACCTCTTATCCCGAAGAAAACATTCCAAACCAGTGGAATTTCTTAAGGTTATAGTTAACAGATATAAATGCTCCATGGCTTGTATCTGCTTCACTAGCCTATATCACTTGTAACTATTCCAGAGGCATACAATCTCAGAACTTGCAAATCTGGTAAATCATATATCTCATAGATACTTTTCAACATGTACGTATCTGACTTAGTCAAGATATTCTACAACGGTTTAAATTCGTTATAGAATTCACAGAGGAGAAGTGGCATAAGTATTTCCAGACTCGCGGAGGCAGTTTAGATCTCAAGGGAGTTATAAAAAGAGTCTCAAGACTTAGCTAAAAACTTATATTTCCTAGCCCTAATTCATTCAAAGCTCTCTTTGTAATTCATCTCTTCGAAATAAACCTTTATTCATTCATATCCAATCAATATAAATCCAATTTATTTAATAATTTTGATTGTACTCAAGATAAATCTGACTCATTGTTATAAATTCCTAATCTAAAAACTTACACAAATTTGTAAGTATGAGATTTAGCAATCAATCACTATGCGAACAATAATGGGCTCGTTCAGCGTAATAGGCTTGATAATGCATGCTAATTGATTAAATCCCATGGGCTTAAAGTATGTAGACAATTGCGTACGCTGACGTCAGTGATAGGGTTAGATATGTGTACTCAATGAAGTGGCCACGGGACACACGAGTTCTAGAGCTGGGCACAGGGGAAGTACTTGCTACTCGGTTTGGCCAGTCCAAATAATTTGTTTTGTTACTTGTACTTGACCCCTCTAAAACAAGTACTTCTTTAAATCAAAGTACTCAACAAAAATAAATTGATCGAATAGCTGCAAATTACTTGACTCGGTTTGTTATTTGCCAAAAAATTTTGATCCTGACTATTACTTGCCAAAGTTCATCTAGCTGGAATAGATGCGATTTCGAGACCAGATGATTCGGCTGCTATATGTCATACGTGGGTTGTAGCAAATCTTCAGGTTAACTATCGTATTCCTTTGGGTTGGTAATATGTAAAGCAAGCTCTATTGCTATAGCTATCGTAAGAAACATTGCTATGTTTAGTCGTATTCAATCGCACCTTACACTCAGTGAACCAACATGGTAGATACTTGATAGTGTCTGAGCAGCCGCTATAGTTATATATGTAATGCTCTCTATTTTTTAAATCTCGGGTAGTAAGATTTTGTGGCTCTTTTGGTCTTTTTTTTTAATGAAAGTTTTGATACCCTTTCCATTATTTAATAACAAGAGAAAGACTAGTAAGTACATCCTTTCCATTGGACCACTTTCATACGAAGTGATCATCATCATATCTCCCCATCCCACATTTCGGCTACAGATTTGATGGGGCCTTTCTCAGAGATATAAACCTCACCGCCAACGATTCTTGACTGAGGAATCTCTGTGGAGATTCTATGTTTCTCTTCCTCTGTCAAAGACCAATCAAATATCTTCAGATTTTCCTCTAATCTCTCTTTCTTAAAACTCTTCACCACCATGCTCACTCCTTCCTCATAGGCCCATCTCATACTCACCTGTCAACAAAATTTATTCATCTTTTAACAAAAGTTTCCATTACAAAAAGCGAAAGCTAGGCTTCAAAACTTGCATCCCCCAAAACAAAGTTCCATCTCAACTTTCTTTTGCAAGTTAGTACCTGTGCCACTGTTTTTCCTCTGGCCTCAGCTATTTCTTTGTGAACATCAGACTCCATGATTTTGTGAGTTCCCCAAAATGCTCCTCTCGATCCCAATACCGAATAAGCTGTCACAACAATGCCCTTCGACTTACAAAACTCCCTTAGCTTCCTCTGTTGCCATACTGGACTCATCTCCATCTTTCACATTCATTTATAATAAATAAATATCTCCAATTCTTTCAACTTCATCTAAACTCTTTTAACAAAAGAAAAGTTTTGACAAGGTTTATGTAATTCGACAAGGTTTGATTTACTTGATTGACGCTAGGCGGGATTTTGGCGTTAGAGAGGATGTGTTGAAGCTTCTTGCATGAGAAATTGCTCACTCCGATACATTTTGCAAGCCCGAGTCTCTGGCACTCCTCCATCTCTGACCAAACTGTTTCGTAATCCATCGGAAGAAAATCATCTTTTTCGATTGGAAACTTAAATTTACCAGGTTTTGAGCTCACTGGCCAATGAATCAAGTAGAGATCAAGATAATCAAGCTTAAGGTTTCTGCAAAAACATGATGTGCCAAAGAGATCATTTACATCAAGTTTGGTTTGATTAATTCAAAACCACAATTAGTGATACAATTTTTGAGATAGATAATTTTGAATCAGAATGTGTTTCGGACAAACAAAAAAAAATAAAAAGATTTGTTCAAACCTTTCATTTCAATATGAGAATTTTAAAAATCAGATTTCTGAATTTATTATTAGGTTTATGTATATAAATAAACCTAATAATAACAATAAAAAAAACTAATAATAAAGTCTCTATAATCAATACTTCAAATTCTCCAAACATCCTGGATTCTTGAATCTTGAGCATTCGTCCTTTTATTTTTTTCTTCTTTATATTCCCCAAATCTCATCTGAAAATCGTTTCTTAATCAAAAAGGAAGATGAATCTTACTTCAAACTCCGTTGCATCGCCGGTACGACGAGGCCGCGATGAGCATCGGCGCACCAAAGCTTGGAAGTGACAAAGAGCTCAGATCGAGATTGGACTAAGCCGAGAGAAAACGCCTCCCCGCTAGAGCTTCGCCGAGAGGCTCCTCCGTCTGGTACCTCGGAGACGTGTCAAAGTGACGATAGCCGAGCTTGATAGCCTCAAGCACAGTCTCTTTCAGCACCAACGGTTTCGGCGGCGGAGACGCGGCTGTTCCGAGTCCTAGAACCGGCATCAAGTGATTGCCGGATCCTATTCCGAGCGTGGGGAGTGTAATCAAATTCAAAGACATTGTCAAAAGCCAAAACAAAAGTCAAAGAAAGTTTGCTTCGTGCAAATCGTTTATCAGTGGCTTAACTGAGTGAGTGATGCTGATACTTTCTCTTAATTTATAAAGAAAAATTTATACAAACTGATCAAATCTAAAGCCGCCTAGGCAGCGGCATGTGCGCCATTTGACGAACATCATTTTGAGCGTAACATGATCGTTTTCAAAGAAAATTAATTGTCAGTCCTAATTTTTTAAAAAAACTTTAGTCTATTTATATATTAATTTTTAAATTAAATAAAAAATTGATGTTGTATCTCTAAGCTTCCGTTTTCGTTGAGATACCACCGTATGAGAATATAATCACACGGATGCTCCGCTCATTTATGATTTTGATACGATCTTCTTAAAGAAATCACGCTCAAGGTTGGTAAAGATTAATAAATCCTCGACTCCAAGGAAATGCGAAACTAGATGCTAAGGCGTGAGTATGAACTCGAACAGGGGCAGATGCAGGAAAAAAAAATTAGTGGGGGCAAACATAAAAATATGGGAAGAAAATGACTTTTAATGAAGACAAATGATTAGAACTTTGATACATTATAAAAAAATTTCAGTGGGGGCAAGTGCCCCCTTTTTGATGCATGTAGATCCGCCACTGAACTCGAAGATCCTTAAGCCCCAAACTCACAATAAGTTTTTGAAACAAAGCTGTGGCAACCTTGTTGATTGAATTCGCGGAGTAAGATGTCAAAGCATGAGAAATGAATTTCCGAAAATCTTTGATCCCTAAACTCAACTTAAAACAAATCTACGAAACAACTGATGAAGGCTGTGTCAAGTGGATGAAAAATACTTGATAAATCGAAAATAATCTGTTGGCTAACTACCAAGAAATCAGAAAGAGTTTGCAATAAACCAAAAAGAAAACTTCTCTAAATGAAACGATTTTATAAAAAAGGTGAACAATGAGATATGAGATCTCTACATCATTTATATAGGGGAAGGAGTAGGCCAAGAGCCATACTCGCAAAATTACAAAAGTAATTAAAGAAGCAAATATTAAAATTAATTAAAGTTTGAATGATCCTTCGACAACTTTGTCTGTTTGACTGACATTTGAGCTTCCAGCCGAAAATGACCCTTAACATTCTTAATGAGTTTGGACCGAGAATGGGATGTAAGTCCATTGCTTCGTCAAAACCTCCACTAGAAAAACCCATTGGGACAAAACCAAAAGCATGAAAAAAGTACAACAGACTTATATCTTCGGCCAAACCTCAAGTAAAATTCACAAATTATATTGAGGTTAGAACTGGATGTGTAAGCTGTTCTTCCTCGATCTGGACTTGAATCTCCATGTTCTGGAACGCAAACTTCCGGATCTTAGATTGTGTCATTGGACCGTAATGACCAATGCCTCTTCCTGAACCTCAGCAGCTTCCTCCGGATCCATGATCATATCAGATCCAAGGACCCAAAGCTCTTCACTCCGAAGTTACGCTCACTGCAACCTTAAGCCAGACAACATTCTCCTTGTTCCTTCCACCGCTTTTGAAGAGTCGTGGGATCTCAAGCTTGCTGATTTCGGATTTTCCAAGGAGCCTAGCACATATTTTAGGTCATCGTTTCGATCGCTGATTTTGGATTGTCCATTAAGCCAAGTTTGTTAGTTTTTGGCTTAAGGCTAAACACAACAATCCCTATCTTCTTATTTTTCATGTGTCTTAGAGTCTGAGAGTACAACACAAGAATCAGGGTTCCTAAGCTTTGTTCTCGAGTGTTGCGAAACATAGAAACGGTTTAGTTGTATCTTGGGATTCTTAGGTGTGTTCAAACCGTCACACTACAGGCATATAAATAATTAAAGAAAGAATATCTCGCCTCCGCACATAACCTTCTATTCCAATCGCATATTCGGTATCCGTTTTGTGATTTGTATTCCTATTTTTCTGTATATATCTTCATATTATCAGATTGTGCTCACTGTAGAAATTTGGGTGTTATACCAACTAGAAGACACCAAAAACATTGACCGATGATTCCAAGATTTCCAGGTTCGATTTGATGAGAGCAACTTACATGGGAGAATAAACATCCTTATTTGAAGTTTTTTTCTCTATTTGCTATGCAAGAATACTATTTCGAGTCAGTTTTTGGTACTTACAGTATAAGTTTGTGCGAAGTACTCAAATTAAGGTATATCAAAAGTTCAAATCTGTTAATTATATTACTCTCTTTATTTGCCTTGTTAGATCAGAAATGGAGATTAACTGAAAAATAAAAGTCGGAGTTTTCGTATAAATTTGTCCATCATTAAATTTAAAGAAAATGTGCTGTATATACTTGGGACTGTTCATAATTTGCTAAGAAGGAAAGTCCACTGTTCCGACACTGTGCTATTTCTTTTAATACAACATTACCCCTATACTATCGAGCCTATAGCTAAGATCATTCATCTGCATTTCGAGATTGTGTGTCAGATTTAATAATTTTTTATTGAACGAGAAGATAATACTACATTTATTTATATTTTAAAATACGACATTTATTGCTTCCTTCTTTGTTAATATCGCCGATATTTTGTTACAGTTTCGAATAAATCTGGTTCGAATATAAATTTTAGGTAAACTTCTTGTTAGATTGGATCTCAAAACTACAAAAGTCCAAAGACGGTTTTTGTCCTCTCCTCAAGCCATTTACACCATGCTCCCACTATCCGTCTTCCACTTTCGGTAAAATTTGTGATTTTTTTGTTGCAAATATTCTTACTTTCAACTGTAATTTCTTGATTCGCAGTACACCCGTTCTGATTTATTGTTCTTCTTGTCAGTTCAACCCAAACACATGTCCAATTTTAGTTTTCCCGCAAGGATTTTCGCCGCCGGTCATGAACCAGTAGGTGAAAGGGTTAACTCTTACCAGAAATCGAAAGTCGTGAAGGCCATCCTTAATGCGCTTGATCATGAAGAAGCAAAGATTACGAGACTCACAATTGGGGAAGCTTCTGGCGACTATGAAGCAACCGTCGTTTTCCAGCAGTTTTGGCGACCCAGAAGCCATACTGATCAATTTCTCTGGTTTGGTTTCAATTTTTTCGAGAGAACTAATCAAACATGTTTATCTTATCTAAATCAAAGTTATTTTTAGTTTCGTCTCTTCTCTGAATGTATCTGTTGATGTAAATTCAAAATTTTGTTTCTTCTCTAAAATTATGGATCTGAGATTGAGAGAGAGATTGTTGAAGACGGAGATTTCGATGAGTTAAGTTGGAAAAATGTTAATTTGAAAGTTAACAATCAAAAAATGTTTATACCATCTAACAAATGTTTTAATATATCAAAATAATATATAGTTGGATAATATATAGCTGGTTATCTTTGAATCCAAAAGCTGCACTCACTCTAAATATTTTTGAATTTGGAATTAGGTTTCTAAATTGAGTGTTAGATTGCTAATATATTTTACAGATGATTACAATTCATTTACTATACCATATAAATGTTTTGATATATCTCTAATATTCCACTTAACATGTTAACTATATTATTACACATATAAATTTAAATTAATACTCGATAAGCCAATTATAGCAACTGAAATTAAGCACGCTAACAAATTATATAGCTTTATAATATGTTAAGTAATTGTATAACTTATATGTTAACGTATATCAGATAAAAACAGTGCGCTAAAAAATTATTTATACTGCTAACGTTTCATATATCTCTATAACGTATATGTTAACGGGGTCTGATATAATCAATTATCAAACCAAATATACAAGTGTCAAAGAATGCAGCAATCCTTTTTTTTAAGAATGCAGAAACTTATCATGCATACAAAGTATCTAGTTTGATAAAAAAAAATTATGTAATTGTATAACTTATATATTAAGTAGATGCATACACATGAATATAATTATTTAGATTGATAATGTTTAATATAACTATATAATGTATATGTTAATGAGTTCTGATATAATCAATAATCGAATCAAATATAGCAACTCAGAGGTGTCAAAGAATACAAAAATAATTTTTGTTTCAAAAATACAGAAACTTACCATGCTAACAAAGTATGTAGTTTGATAAGAAGTTATATAATTGTATAACTTATATGTTAAATAAAGAAGATTGATGAGAGAGAAATTCCAGAGCTGTTATATTTTGTGGTTCTCAAATGCCTACAAGCAGACCTACGCTATCTACATGAACCTATAGAGGTCGATATTATCTTTTCTTCTGTCATTTAAATTAAATCAAAAATACAATTAGCAAAATAGAAAAAGTTAGCTCGAGGGTTCTTTTAGTAATCTGCCACAATTTGGAATTCAAAATTTTCACCTGAAACACTGTTTTTCCTTATTGGCAAATTTTAACCGGGTCTTAATCTATATAGCAAATTGTCTATTTTTAAATTTACCCTATTTTTTCCTCTTTTAAATTGGTTACCAAATCAATTAAAAGCCAAAAAGACAAAAATCTTAACATTTTCAATAAATAGATAGAAATGATTGTTCTTCTTATACAATTTAGCTACCAAGTTATTCTAAAGTAGATGTAATCAGTAGGAAATCAAAATTTAATGAACATCATACATCATTAACTAGGTATTTGGCAAGCGACTTACACGGAGAGAAGGATTTTATTAAATAATATTATAGGTAAATAATCCATTTAGTAGTTTTGATATCACGTTAAACTTTATCTCTAAAGTAATTGTTACTGTATAAAATTAAGTTTATGCATTATTTTATTTATTCAATTTTTAGCCTTAAATTTACTTTTTATTTTGACGAAATTGATTATCTTTGCTGATTCTTATCTTTCTCGTAAGTGTGGACATGAAACAATTTTATCTGATTGTATGCAATTAACCAATCTTTTTTGCTAGTTTTGATACCATGTTTAATTAACCAAATAAATTTTTGGTAAAAAAACCAAAATAATTTTCCAATTTTTTATTTACCAAAATAATCCTAACTTTTTTGTTCACAAAAAAATTCAACTTTTTATTTATTAAGCCATTTTAGTCATATCGTTAGTCAACTATAAAAGTTGACTAACGTTAGGTCTAA